GCTCCTATATATATATATATATATATATATATATATATATATATATGAGCGATCAAATGAAAACCGCCCTCATTTGTGTAAACCATATAAACCAATCTCATCAATCCATTTTCTTGATCAATGGTCAAGATTAGTTTAGTTTATATTAGGAAGTTAAAAAAATATTTTTTTAATTGAAAAAAGGGTAAAATTGTAAAACCGTCTATATCAATAAATCAGGTATAACCATCAGTTTCCTTAATCAACCCCATTTTGAATAAGGAAACAATATTTTTAACTATTACATTTAATGAATGAAATGATTTCACCGTATTTTTTACGATACACAAATCAACGTCTTTCTAGAGAAGTCATATGTCATTTTTATTTTCTCAGAAGATGAATCTGTTTCAATCTTATTATGAAATGGTTTCACTGTTTGCCTATTAAACACCATGTTCTTAACGTTAACATCTCAACCGTTTACAATAACCATTCCATGAACCTGTTTCACAACTTATAACAATTAAAAATATTGTATCCATCATACCATACAAATCAATAACCATTATGTGAACCAGATAACCCGGGAAAAAAACGAAACGATTTCATCAACAATTGTTGATAATGAAGCAATATTATCCAAGAATATATTTTGTATCCTAATATATTATGCAACGATTTAAACCATAGATGAAACGATTTAAACCATAGATGAAACGATTTCATCAACGTAATATATGAGGCATTTGTCATTTTCATGTTTTCAGTACGTGGATCCGTTTCAAATTAATTACGAAATGATTTCACTGTTTGCCAATTACACAACATGTTCTCAACAATTATGAAATGGTATCACTTTCGTGTATTTCTTATGCTTTCACTTTTTTTTTCTTACATTAATCATTTTTATGGTCAAACTATTTAATATTGTTTACGTTTGAAAAAAATTAGGAAACAAGAAAACAAGATTATCGAAAAAAATTATATTATGCAACAAGTTCATCTATAAAAATTTCAGTAAACATGAATCTATATCACTAATATTTATAATTTTACCGGTTCATAAATCTTTGTTTGGGATCTGTTACTGATTTTGTTTATCAATCATTATAAGCTTTTGATCTTCATATTTTTATTACGTATAAACTCATAAAACAAATAAACATATTTAATTTTTAAAATACTAAATTAAATAAGAATTTAAATATTACCATTTATAACATTTCCTTTATTACGTTTCTTTATTTAACATAACTTAATAACTTTCATATTTAATCAAAAACAATGTAAATGACAATTCAACCCTTAATGATTAAATTTAATTAAAAAGGAATTTTCCTATTGGTCAAAATTAGTTTACACGGTTTTTAAGAATTAGGCGGTTTTCAACGGATCCCGTCTCTATATATGTATGTATGTATGTATGTATGTATGTATGTATATGTATGTACAGGAGTAATGGGATGATATAGGTATTTAATGCATTAAGTATAGATAAGAACTAACATTAAAATTTAAAACCCCGTGACCCTGTTGACATCGTCCTTCACGTAGGCTTGCATCTCCTGCAAGAACCCTCTTTTCCCTTGAGTTAAGAAATATGAAGTCATTAATTAGACTACATCTTCAAATGTTCATAACACAAGTTTTTCAAAGTTTTTTTTGGTAAATGGTAGCGAAAACCCATATGGATTTAGAGATTTGTTTAATCGGAGTTGAAACAAAGGATGTTGAATTAAGATAAATCTTTTACACATAGATTATCGTAACCTAAGACTACAACCTCATTCAAATGGAAAATTAAGATGGGTGATATGACAATTATTTTTCATCTTATATTCCCACATTGAAGAGTAATTCAAAAACTCTTAGTAGTTTTTCGTTCGCAAAATAATCTGACTTTGAAGGAATTGGAATTGAATGTCATCACCTGTTTGTGTATGTGTTTGGTTGACATATATTGGAATAGAATCTGTTAAACGAATTAAAATCTATTTGTGTTTGGTTCACATAATGTAGCTTTGGAATTTGAAATAAAAATTTTGAAAACCAAAATCCGACTATTGTGGTTCAAATCGGTGGTGGTCAATGGTAGTTCAAATGGCGGTGGTTCAGATCTATGGTGGTCGGCGGTGATCGACGTTGGTTCAGATCGGTGGTGGTCGACGATGTCAGTAGTAGTTCAAATCAAGTAGGAAAGATAAGGATAATTTTGTCTTTTTAAGAAAGTAGGATAGAATGGAAGTGAATTCTTTCCTATAAATGGTGGAATGTGTGGAATTCAATTCCATTCCACCTGTAAACCAAACTCCTTAACGAAATTTGGTCAATGGAATTGAGCATTCCAATTCCTTCGAATTCCATCAGAATCCTACGAACCAGACACTCCCTTAGGTCCCATGTCCATGCTTTTTGGACTCTTAACCTTAATTACCAGAAACATTGGTGTATGCCACCAAAAGGTCAAGCGACCCAATGATATTCGAGTTATTAGTAGATTCTACCATCTTAGGAAGTCAAGGATCCAAGTCTCATAAAAGATGAGAGCGTGTGAGTTTTATGGTATATATATTATTATATAGTTCAAGAAACAAAAAAGTGGTGTATGCCATTAACTCGATGGACTACCACTTCTTCGTTCACTTTTTACAACCAAAATCACTTGTTCTCATTAAGAAAATTCTAACAATTACCATAGATGCAAACACAATATTAAAGTATATGAACAACAGCATCTTTCGTTTTGTTTCCAACGATTCCTATTATTTTGCACGATTGTCGATCTCTCTAGAAACGGCATTATGATTGCTCATATCCAACAAATAAAGATTAATCATCATGTAACATCCTGCTGTTTTACTCACAATACAGGAATGCACCAAGAAACACATTAGAACAAGCTGATGATCATTTCTCCCTTTATGCCCATAACCATGGCTTTACTCATTGGGTTGTTTCAGCTTCTTTAAAAGACCCCCAAAAACGTTGCGACTGCAAAAAGTAGAAATAATACTCCTCCCAAATACCCAACCTGAAAGATTCAAGATGATATCCAAATTCTTAAGCAAACGAAATCATCAACAAATAAGAATCTGAAGTGCGATAAGCAAGTCAGCAAAGAGAAGTACCAGTTTCTCGGAAATATAACTGGCAAGAAATGCTCCTCCAACTGCTGCGATAGCGGTTGCTAGCAGGTGACCAGCAATGGCTCCACTAGCCACGCCCCATGGAGACTGTCATAAGTATTGGAACTGTTAGAATTCCACATCGGTTAGACTTGGACCTTTCTACTTTAATATATGTTGGAACCCCCGTCTCCTAAATGGCTCTTCTGAAGAGTAATTTGATGGGATCCACATATCTCACATAGTATTAGAATTAAGGTCTACCACTGGGACATGTGTGACATCTAGCCTTTGTTGGAGGGGGGTGTTAAGAGTCTCACGTCAACTAGACTTGGAACTTCCTACTTCAATATATGTTGGAGCCCCCTTCTCTTTTAAAGGGCTCTTTTGAAGAGTAATCTGAGGGGTTCCACATATCTCATATGTGCTCGTGTAAACTCTTTTCGAGGGGGAGTGTTAAGAGTACCACATCAGCTTCAATATATGTAGGAACCCCCTTCTCTCCAAAAAGGCTTGTTTTGGAGAGTAATCTGATGGGTTCCACATATCTCACATGGTATCAGAGCCAAGGTCTACCTTTGGGACATCTGTGCCCGTGTAGCCTCCATTGGAGGGGGCGTGTTAGAGTCACACATTTGTTAGACTTGGAGCTTTCTACTTTAATATATGTTAGAATACTCCGATATGTGTTGATGGAGTGTTACTTGCCATCCGGTCACTTATGGTGTTTTCAAGAAAGAACAATCACTCATCTAGGTTTTGGAGCAGAGATATACCTGCGCGGCCCCAAGAGCTATGGTTGCAAGCATTGAACGGTCACCCCATTCCTACAAGCAAAAATCACATGATAATCTTGTTTCATAACAAACAAATGGCTTCATGCCCACAAAAAGAAAAGAAGAATCTATGCTTTAACATAGTGTAATAAAATTATGCCTTATGGACGAAAGAGAAAAGGGTTACCGCAAAAAATACAAGACTAAATGACTTCCAAATGATTTCAAATGGATTCTTGAGCTGTTTAGATGCCTGCATGAATAGCTAAGATCTTTAACAAACTCAAATTGTTGATATAAGTCAAACGGAAGAATCAAAGTAAAGGGTGATGATGACCTTTTCTTTTACGAGCTCCTCAGCTTCTGCAAATTCATCAAGTTCAGAGCTGCTTTTCTCACCATTTTTAACATTACTTGATGGAAGGTCCCATGCATCCTTGATAGCTTTGAGGCCGAAGAACATCAGAAGAGTCACTGCAGCGTATTCTCCAATCGGCAACGCTGTTCGTATGATCCATGAAAAAATTAGAAAAAAATTCAAAAAAAAATGGAGGGGGAAAAACACCAATGACTTACTTGTCTGAAATTGAGCTGGTACTGAATTAAATATCCTTCCAATTATGACCGACAAAACGGTCATAAGTGATAAAGCACCCATTGATCCCAAGATAACCTAATCATCAATTATGAGTCCTTAAGACATGTGATAATATAAGGGTACATTCATTTTTTAGAACTATAAATATTTTGAGAACCGTGAGAAACCAAATATTCATAATGAATATCATGAAAGAGCGTTAATGATAATCTTCATGAATATATATATATATATATATCCATTATGAATATTCATGATATTCATGTAGATTCATTATGAATATTTGATTCCTCGGTTCTTAAAATATTTATAGTTCCTTTCCCCTGTGGTACTAATAGTTATCTATAGAAGATATGTGTAGATCATACCAGTACTTTATCATATTGCATGGCCAATAACGCTGCAATGAAAAATGTCTGATAAAGTAAAGAAAAGAGGGATCTTAGTTGTAATGAAGGCCAAATACAAGTTTACACAAGGAAGTCATTGGTAAGTGGTTGTTTTTTAGTTACCTTGTCTCCAATTTCAGAAACAAAAATTAACGTAAAAGCAGCAGTGAATCCCGACTTTGAGATTGCTGCTAAGAGAGACGATGGTGCACCCTTCCCAAAGGCGATTATGGAAAATACTAACGCACATCCAGATAACACAAGGGCTATTGAGAGCGGATAAGGAATTTCCTTAGGGAGCTTTTTACTGCCAAGATAAGCAGGGCATGAATGAAATTCTAAAGAGAATTAGTTTTTGCTCTAAAGGATTGTTGCATAATACATGCATTATAATACTCGGGAAGGCTCATTGAGACCTGCAAATATTTTGAGAACCTAGGAACCAACTATTCATGTTTTATTCATAATGAATATCATGATAGATATTCATCATAAAAATGCATGATATATAAATTATGAAATGAATGATCTTCATGATGAATAAATTCATGATTATTCACCATGAATATACCAGAAATAGTTGGTTCCTAGCATCTCAAAATATTTATGGTTCTCATTTGATCATTCCCCTCATCTTCAAGTTAGTGTATAGATAACAATCATGCCCAAGTTCACAAGCAAGACAGAAATCAAATCTCAAGTTCACAAGCAAGACAGAAATCAATTCTTTACAACAAAAGATCCGATCCTCAAAGCTCAAACAAGCACACTTGTTCCCCATTTAGATCAGCTAGAAAACCCCTTTCAGTACTGAGTTCTCCACAATGGCGTTAATCATTGTACTCTCTTTGCTCTATGACTTTATGTTAAAATATTATTTGATTATGTTTATATTATGGTGGATAATAGACATGTTCATTAAAGGATGCTTCTTTCATCTTACATGCCATCACACACCATATATTCTATGAGAAAGAAAGGACTGCCATTTTTCTGAGAGACCTCCGATTTTCACATAAAGTAAACATTCACTGCCTTCACTTGCACCCTTCCTGGTAGATAAATCTAATCCCATGGGCCCCTGAAGATAAAAGCCAAGAAAATCCCCAGTGGCCTTGAGGAGACTTGAACCGGCGACCTATGAGCAGAAGCCTCAAGGCCTACCCTTTATTTGACAGTTGAGTTGGCCCACAAGATTCTTCCCGGTAGAGATTGGATCAACATGTCATGCTTTTCTTACAATTTTTTAGTTAACACCACATTTTTTGGTCTAAGCAAAATGATCAGAAGAGAACTCACATATTAGAAGAACTATCACTGGTTGGACCATTAGTAGATAAATTTTGGTTGTCATTTTCATCTCTCCCTGCATAGCCTCCAGCGCCAACACCAACATTAGATGCATTTGCTCTAACTCTGTTGCCTGCCAAATCTGGTTTGAATATGTCTCTGCATTGTACTGTTGTATGGAGGAAAAAATATCATAAAAATTTGCTTGATAACATATACTCCTGTAAATCCATTAACATGTAAATAACAGTAAGGGGCTGTTTGATTGTTCTGATCAAGTCCTACATGGATTAAGCTATCTGTAGGGGTGAACCAATACATAAACAAACAGCCCCTAAGTCGGTTAACAAGTTGGGCATTGATATAGTCACCAAATAACTCACTAAATCCACATAACTATTCACATTATCAAAAAGTAAAACCGTCTCAGCTGTCTAAACTTGACCATGTAGCACCTCGGGCTGGCAGAAAGGATAGGATAGCTTCAATTTTAGGTAGAATTTCACAATATATGTCAATACCTGCACCAAAAGTAACAGACCAAATATACCAACAGAAAACCATCTTAAGTAGATGTTCTCCAAGCTATAAGATTTATCATGTTGGTCAAAACTTATCCAAAACCCTCTACTCTTTATCTAAAATTTAACCACCATGAGCGCAATAATTCTTTGTTGCTCAATTTTTAATGTCGTGTCATCACCCCTCAGAGTAGATTGACCTCTCATAAGAGCTCTTGGCCTAGGGGTGGGGGTTCGTTGATAGAGTAGACAGAAGGTAGGGAGCTGCAGCGGTAGAAAGTGGGAGATAAAGTTCATAAGTTACACTAGGGGTGTGTAGTTTCCATAAATTGGTTAATTTTTTTCTTGTACCACTTCTATTTATATGTTATTGCTTACTTTTAACCTGCTTTTCAAAACTTTATCATATCTGACTCTCTCTTTGTCACACTTATCACAAGCCAAGAGCCTTCACGGGAACAACCGCTCTACTCTTCAAAGTTAGCGAACATCTTACCCTTCAAGACCCGATATACCGGGTTCGTTTGATTTGGTTTTATCGTAGATTTTGCTTCTGCGTTAACATGTTCAAGACCTTTTTAGCACTCGTTTTAGATCATTAATAGAGCTCTTTGATTCCATTCCTGTTTTCCAAACAAATATTTTTTTCAATTTTTGCAGCATACATCATCATCATGCTTAACAAGATCAAACATAGCACCACCTATCATCAACATGGCATCATTTTCTTGTTTCAGAGAAGTTCACTCTTTCTTTCCCCCAAGTAATATTAGGTTTTTCTCCATGAGAATTCAAGAGCCATCTCATAGGGTAATTAAAGAAAGTCAACCGTATAAACAGCAGCATGTGTGTTCCAATTTGCAAGGGGCAATCTTTATGTTTCCTTTTTCGAGCTCACTTGATTTCCAACTAAACTCAACCCTCCAAATTTTCGAACAGGATAAAGTCGCAGAACAAAAAATTCACGTATTCAACGGTAAATCAAGGAAACCCAGCTTAAAATCTGTTCATTTTTTGCAAAATCGAGTGAAATTATACAGACTACAGCAGAAACCATGAAAATTCAGAAACGAAAATGCAAGAGAAAACTTACATGATGAGGGTGAGGAAGACGAACATATGGTTCTTGTAGGTAAATCAGCAAAGCAAGGCGAAGAATCAACAGATGCCAACAAAGGCAGCTTTCTTCTTGCATTTGATAGCACCAATACAGGTGCTTGATGGAGAATTAGACCTGTCATCTCTGTGTTGAACTGGGGTTTCACTTATAACTTCAGATCCATTTCTTTCAGTAAGTGCATTAGAATCAATCAACCCAACGATGCAGAAATCTTGATGCTGAGTTAGGATGAAGAAGGAAGAGGGTGGAGAGAAATTGAGGACCCAAAATTCTATCTTTTTTGGGGGCCAAAAGAATGCTTTGTTGTTCAGAGTGTGGGATGATTCTTGCCGTGCGGGTGGATAGAGAAAGAAGAGATAAAATGATTACAGTTTTCAAGGAACGACGTCGTCACTGTCTTATTCCTTTTCCATGTGTTATGGGGCAATTGGTTTCTTGATGCTTTTATGATTGGATGAATGTTGATGATATATGAGACAATTTGTAACCATTTTCTGGAAAAGGGGATTTGGTTTTGTAGAGCATTGTGACATTGCAATGATGTTTAGCAAACAGGTTTGTGTTAATGATGTCTTCGCCTGCATGAAGCTGAAATCGTTAGTAATCGCCGTTGAGGACCAAAAGCTATGGAACTTGGGTGTGGGTTTTTTGTCGAAATGGAATGACCTTTTTGTTTATTATTTATCGTAAATGAGTGAAATATTACATATAGTATGTCTGTCCCCCATCAACGTATTTTTTTGTTTTACGCACCCGCAATACTGATTCGATCCAAGCTCTCTTGGAATGGATGCCTTGGTGGTGAAATGGTAGACACGCAAGACTCAAAAATCTCGTGCTAAAGTTCTAATTTTGATTCAAAGAAGAAAGTATAGAAGGAAACTATCAAGTTGTGGAGTGCGGTAGGGACAGAGGGAACACGAGGATTGCGCTTGTTGCAGGACTTAACCCAACACCTTACGGCTTGCCGGTATTAACATGTAGAACGGGATTCTATGGTATTTATACACATCCTACATTATGAATACGATGTAACAAGAATACTAAGGATACACATAATATTAATTGATTACAATTATAATAAAAGAAAACTAATCAAAGGTAATCGACTAGGCATGGCGACAGGGGTACGAATAGGATGTGGAATGCAATCCCCGGCCCAGGTTCCACTATCCCCACTCCATGGTGGGTATGTGGAATCAAATCCCATCTCTACTTGTTGTAGGTCTTATCTTCGGTTCAACAAAAAATGGTTTAAATAATGATCAAAATTAGTTGAAAAGTAAAATAATATATACATATATATATAGAGAGAGAGAGAGGGAGAAAAAGTCAAGTTCATACGAGGTTAGTAATCAAATAAGAGGATAAAAAGGCAGTTGAATCACATGTGATTTTATATTAAATCATGTGTTAGTCGCGGGCTACGTCATCCGCACACCCTTGCATTGATTGTTAGTGTAAAATCACATATGATTTTTCCGCGTGATTTGGCCGTCTTCATGTTCTTTTATTTAGTTATTGTTTTTATTTGAACCTTCATATCTATATATATATATATATATACACACACACACTAGTTAGCCACCCGTTGCAATGCAACGGAAGGTAAAATTTTATAAATTGAATTATTTTATGATTTTGTCTACCTCCATAGTTGGGTGGATTTCTTTGCCACCATCTTTATTTGTCTAACCTGAATGCATGTTGTTTTGATGCACCATAACTTTCTTTAACTATTTTCCATGCGTTAGAATTAAGAATTGAAAGGAGAAGAATAGATCACTTTGTTACTATTAAATCATTATATATCAAATTTTGAGAACCTAAAACCCCACAATCTTTATTTACTTCTATGGTCAAACAAACAACTCAACTGCACTAAGAAATTAAATGGAGAAAATACATTTTTTTTTCTATAGCTAATAACAAATTTAATCAGAAAAATGGTAGAACCATTGGTGGCCAGATTACATAGTGACAAAGTTGAGCTCTACTTCTTCTGTTATGGCTAATCTTAACAACGAATGTCCCTCTTGCATGCTTAAACCTCGTATATAAAAGAGATGGAGAACAAAATCGATAGCGGTAGGACTTGAAATTGTAAAACAATAGTCCAACAAATTTTTGATAACATTGCTACCTGAAAGTTGGGGGACTCCAATTTGAATTACTTGCTACAACTCCATAAGCTGATGCAAATGAACTCGTGTAAGAATTCGTCCCATTTTCCCTCTTTAAGTTCCCCATGTAATCCACCAGATTCTAAAAGAGAATGCATAGAACAAAAAACCATATGTAATTTGTAGTCAAGTTTTTACATAACCGAACTAATAACAACTTCTCAAAATTGTAATACTCATATACCAGAAGAGCTAAGTTGAACCACCATGTCTGGCATAATGGTCTATACAACTTGGAAGTGCTACCACCACCATCACTAGGCCTAGATTTTGTCATATTCTTATACCGAGTGCAAATAAAAGCAAAAATAAACTACTCAGATTAACAATTTAATAGCATATCGAATCTTGTACTACCTTTGAACAGACAAAAACAATTATCATAAGACAACCTAACTGATGACACACGAGAAATTTACATAAAAAAGTTGTATACATTATGAGTGCAAGAAAAATTCACACAAACATGTAATAATTGAACAATTTGTTTAAATATTTTGTACGTTATGATTACAGTAAATAACTTAAATAGAAATATAAAAGAAGTAATGCACATATAGATGTTGAAAGGGTATCTGATTAACAATACACCATGAACGAAATTGTAGAAGATCACAAACTTGTATTAAAAACTGTAAAGACCAAGAAGAAGGAAGTCCGAATTTAAACATAAAATCCTTCATTTATATGAACGACAATTTTCAATGTACATGAGTTTACAAATCACCAATCAGCAAATCCTTCCCTTATATATAAACGACAATTTTCAAAAGTAGGCACATCCTATATGTATCTTTTATGGATTATGCCATATTATTTTTTTGTCTCATTTAAGTTCACGAGCAACACAAATGCATGCACATAAATCGTAAGATGTTACTCCCATCTATCCAGACCAAGTTGAAGTTTAGTAATAAGATCTCAAAAGCTATGTCCTCTTTACCAAGTTAGCATGTTTCTTGGTAAAGCCAATGTTGAACATCTCAAAGCATAACCAACCCCTATAATATTTAAATATGAATATAGAAATTGGATAACAATCATGACAGTTTGTTGAAATGAGACTCTCACCCTTTGTGCGTATATGTTTTTTGGATTTGAGGGGTCCAATTCAATTGTTTTGTTTGCATAAGCAAGAACTTAGCTTCTGCTCCTAAGAAAAGAACTACAAAAGAATTTGCATATTAGGTAGGCAGACACCATAGTAATACTACAACCAATCAGAAGTAACTAGGTGGTTCATACAGGTCAGAACTATTGCATATCCGATCAATAGATCATAATACACTCAATTGCATATTCGAACAAGTCAATAGTAAAGCAAGGTGTCTACTTATGGAGGTAATTGAGTTGTCACAGAATACACTCAATTTTATACTCGAACAAGTCAATAGTAGCTTTAAGCTCAAAAGGTTGTATCTCTTAAAAATTTCAAGATAAAAGAAAGTTCTTTACTTCTGTACCCCGCTGCAATGTGGTGGGATGTAAACCAATAATGGAAAATTAATGAAAATTTTTATATACTAAAATAGAATCTAAAAACAATTGGCATAAACCAATAATGTTAACCATAACAAATGCATAAACATAGGATCTACCCGAATCATCTAACGTCTAAACCAATAGTCATCTAAATGATCATCGACCCAACTATTGCTTATAAAATATCCAATCTCATGAGCGTTGTTAGAACAAGATCAAGTCTTCACATTTTTACAGCAAGAATATCAAACAACCATTCTGTACAATCAATGGGAATAAAAAAACCAACATGATTCAAGAAAAATGGAACAGAATAAAACCAATGATTAGATAAAAAAAACAATGTAATTCAATAAAAAAAAAAAAGCCAATATGATTTAGCATCTGATATATTTCAGATTTCAATCAAACGAGCAGTAGAGCAAGATCAGGAAGCAACAAACCATGTTATTCAAGCAAAGCAAGATTAGAAAAAATAGTGACAATATCCAAATAGTAATAATATGATGGTGGTGGGGGGTTTCCTAGAGCTTCAAAAACTTGTATGTAAAGGGTGAGGAAATGTACCTCTTAAAATTCGACACTTGACCGTTTAAATGCTTTATAATATAGTATAAATACAAAACAAATGTATATCTTGTATAAATGTGTTTCAAAAAGTTTATGACATGTTTTTTTTTTATGTCTTTTGAACATTCTTAAAATAAAGGTACAACTGATTTTTATGGCATCTTTTTTAAATACAAATCCAAAAAGATGTCATATAAAAATGTAATTTTTCAGAAATTGAAGTAGTAAGAAATTAAAAGCATAATGACCAAAAATATGAAGAAAAAGAAATTGCTTGAAAAAATAATTAATTATTTTAACATAAACAATAACAAAACAATTAAAAAAATCATACGTTTAATTCTTTCATATAGTTTTATTAAATCAAAAAGGCTTAAAATAACAAAAGAGCAACCAAACCCGTATTTTTTAATATAGTATAGATATAGATATAACCATTTAAAGTCTTTTATAATGTAGTATAAATTTATATGTATTTATGATATTTTATAATATTATTAAATTCAAAAATATTCAATAATAAACTTATTTTGTATGTATTAACGAGAAGATTATAATGATATAAAATTTGTCAAAAAGACACATGTTTAATGTATTTTATTTAATCTATAATTTTGTATTTGGCAAAGACATATCTTATCCATTAAGTGAGGGTGATGAATCTTACCTCGTTGGTGTTTACATGATAAATTGATAAATTGTTACATACAATATCATTTTACACATAATAAATTGTTATATACTCTTATCCTTTTAAGTGAGGGTGACGACTTTTACGGATAAACGTTTGGATACACAACCACCACATTCATCCATGAGAAATTTGAATTTTGGTACAATAAAATGTTTGACCTCTCATAACCAAAGTTGTGCTAACAATAACCCTGTCTCCATAGCATAGCGGCTTGGTGGTATGGAGTGTCTGCTTGGTTTTTATAGTTTTGTGTTTTTATAGTTTAGGATACACATGGACATAATAAACCAACCAAAATTTGGAGTACATCATGAGAAACATCGAAGGGATTGTCAGTTGCTGAATGGTTTGGTGTAAAATGATTATGTGGTCAGAATGATTAAGAGCCTCTCATCATATAATGCAAAATGAAATATAATTGT